CCTTTCGTTGCCAATCGTGTCTTAGAGATACAGTCAACATGGGACCCCGAGAACTGGAAGTACTGTCCCAGTAAGGAGAACCCGGCAGACTTGTTGACACGTGGTTTATCGTGCGGCGACCTTGGATCTAGTGAACTGTGGTGGAACGGGCCCAAGTGGTTAACCTCACCTGTAGAGGAGCATCCAGCTCAGAGTTTTTCCAAAGAGGAACCCGATGACTGCAAGAAAGAGAGAAGAGCGACACATTCGTGTACATCTGTCCTAACAAAACCTGTACTGATAGTGGATCCAAACCTTTATAGTACGTGGTTGAAGTTGATTCGTGTTACAGTCTACGTTCTTAAGGCTGTAAGATTGTTCAAAGCAAAAACTGTTTCTACTGTGACTGAACTGTCTAGCGAGGAGTTGAAACAAGCAGAGATGTATTGCCATAGAACTGTTCAAAGGGAAGTGTATTCAGAAGACTACAAGACACTGAAAGAAGGCAAACAGCTGACAAGTAGCAGCCGTCTCCTTCGACTTGACCCATACTACGACGAAAAGGATCAAGTCTTGCGAGTAGGAGGACGACTGCAGTTTGCGGACCTTCCTGAAGAGAACAAGCATCAGATTATCTTACCTCATGGACATATCGTTGTACAAAGACTAGTAAGAGATTTACACATCCAGCTGTTGCATGCTGGGCCCGAGACTGTTCTGTCGACTTTACGAAACAAAGTTTGGATCACTCAAGGGAGAAGAGAGGTGAAAGGTATCATTAGGAAGTGTGTTGCTTGTCAGAAGCTTAGAGTGGGACCTTGTGGACAGAAGATGGGGCCACTACCCAAAGAGAGAGTTCAATGCTCGCCCTCGTTCACAAATGTCGGCATTGACTTCGCAGGCCCATTGTATGTGAAGGAAGGTACAAGCACCAAGAAAGCCTACGTGTGCGTGTTTACATGTGCGTCTTCGTGTATGGTCCATTTGGAATTGACGAACAGTCTCACAACAGACGAGTTTCTACAAGCGCTGAGCCGTATGACAAGCCGACGAGGTTTATGCAGTACGATATGGTCGGATAATGCAAAGACATTTAAGGCTGCAAGTAAGGAGATCCAAAATTTCTATGGTAATCCTGCAAAGAAGAGTAACGCTACGTGGAGCAAGCTCGACCAAGACCGTATTCAGTCAGAATTGTCGTCCAAAGGAATAACATGGAAATATATCACTGAACGTTCGCCATGGAGAGGTGGTTGGTGGGAAAGGATGTGCAGAGCTGTTAAGGAGCCACTTTGCAAGGTTTTGGGTAAAGCACTTCTTAGCTTCAGTGAACTTAACACCCTGCTTATAAAAGTAGAGGCAGTTATCAATTCCAGGCCATTGACAGCAGTAAGTGATGACCATAGAGATCTATCGCCAATCACTCCCGCTCATCTAACCATTGGAAGAGCACTTGAAAGTTTGCCAAGCCCTACGAAAGACGACCTYGAGAGTTCAACAAAAGGAACAGTCACAAGATATTTGTACTTACAGAGATTGCTTAATCATTACTGGAAGCGTTGGGAGAAGGAGTATCTGCATAATTTAACGACAAGAGTCAAGTGGAAGACTACAGAGCCCCCCGTGCAAGTGGGAGACATAGTRCTAGTCTCTGAAGATAACGTTAGTCGTCTAAAGTGGCCATTAGGAAGAGTGGAAAAAGTACATCCCGGACGA